ACCTGCAGCTTGTTTCCTACAACCTTTAGTTTGGCTTGCCAGTTTGAAGATTTTTCACAGGAAAGCATACCCTAATGCTCTATGTCATTCCCTAATTCTCCAGTGTGTTATGGGCTTCCAAAGAACAGGTTGTCAACATTTTCCAAAATAATCAAAACCTTTTGATCTGTTTGTTCCCAGAAACACTGAATTAGTTATGATTAATGTTTGCTTTGATTAATTATTAAGATTATATGCTATGAAGGAGACAGTCAGCTACTTGAGGTGCTTTTGAGAGGGTTTTTGGCAACACAGGGAGAAGTAACTCAACTAGATTTTTACTACAGCTTAAGTTTGCATTTTGCAATGGACATGCATATCCATGTTACCTGGACACAGCACTGCTGGGAGCTCAGGCAGGAGTGCAAAGAAATGCTTAAAAAGTGGGTTATTAGGAACTTTGCAAATGGGCTTAACTCTCTCCCCTTTAAGGTTCCCAGCTTATGTCCCTTCTGCATATCCCCACTCCCCTTTGCACCATCCTGATCTCACTCTTTTCTTCCCCTCTTTTCCTGACTAGCCCTATATTTTGTTCTCGTCTCTTTACATGCTCTCTCCCCAGTCTAAGCATAGTTTGTTAGGGAACAAATGACAATGCAGGAATTTTATTCTGTGTCCAATTTCAGGCAAATGTGTAGAAAAAAAGCCCACACCTTGTGATGCCTCACATAGATTCTTTCGGCTGGAAAATACAGCCCTCATTAAGATTTCTTTTCTTTGAAACGGAACTTTTAGTTCACAAACGTTTTCTGCGATGTCTTATCCCACACTCGGTGTGCTGCTTTGGCTTCTGTTGTCTGCAGCATGCGTGCAGCTCCAGGGGCTGTTCTTACTAGTCTTGGGCTTTGACTTCAATATGATATTATCATAAATTTGGAGGGGATGGTTTCCCTCAGAAGGCTGGATTTTCTGCCACCTTTGCAGTATCAAACTGTTGTCTATCTGTAGCTCTCTGACTTCAGGGTGTAGCTTACTTTCAGTATTTAATAGTAGGTTCTCTTGGGAATCTTCCAACGCTTTCTTGAGCTCTTTTTTGGTTTCAGTTTGTGGCTGTAAGCCTGTCTGCTTTCAGGAAGTGATATGCCAGTTTTAATTTTTTGATGTGCAGCGATTCACTCTCCCAAGTGAATTCACAAACACTGAATATTTAAAAACAATTTTTTTTTTCATTTTTTCTATTGAGAGTAATACTACCTGCCTTTGATTGCTCCTATCTCATAATTAGCCTTTCCTGCCCAGGTAGCTAAAAAATACATCAGCTGCTTCAGCACTGGCTCCTGTTAGAAATAGGGCTGCCTTCAGAATGTCTGTCTTTTTGCTGACTCCTGTTGCTTAGGCACAACAAGTGAATTATTACGTGAACTTCCTTCACTTGACTTCCAAAAATTCCATAAGGTCTTAGCTCTGAGGAAATAGTTCATTGCCCCATTGCTTCACACTGGATACTTTCCTTTTAGTCCTCATACCTTATAGCATCCAGGGATTGTACAGCATTTCCAGGAAAGCTGGCTTTATTTTGTGTCTAGTACCAATTAGCTATGAGTAAGAAGAACTTCACTGCACACCATTCAGGCTCTTTGACCAGAAATTTCAGGCCCTGAGGCTGAGTCCTCAGGATAGGAACCCATGTGGCTGTGGGCTTGTGCTACTACGCTCACATAAGGTGTATTAGCAAAGGGGAGTAGTAGGTTTTGAATGTCTCCAGGGAAGGAGACGCCACAACTTCTCTGGGCAACCTGTTCTATAGCAGAGGAGGTTGCTCATACACAAAAGGTAGCATCGTGGAGGTAGGAAAGTTTAGGCTATGAAAGTCAGTATCAAATGTTTTAAGAATTTCTTATTCGACTCCTCCTTTTCCCGTTCACCCCCACCTCACCTATGTTGCTCCAATACTTACTGGAGCTGAGACTGAGGAAGGCACGTAATGAGCAGATTCACAACTCCAGATCTCTGCCTGATTCCCAGATCTATTCTCCCTAGCTCAGGGCTCCCCTGAGTACATATGTTCCTGGCTTTCTCCCTGCCACCCTACCAACCCTCTTACCCTCACATTATCTTGCTCACCAGCAGCCATGTTCTCAATTTACCCTTCAATCCTCTGAAAGGCTTTAGGTTTCTATATTAGAATAATGAAGCATAATAATCTCAAATTTCTTAAGTGCATGAGTCACGTCATATTCCTCATTATCCTGCAGTATATTTAAATCTTTTTTTTTTTTTTTACAAACCAAACAACTCTGTCAAAGCAATTATGCAACTAACTGAATTGTCAAGTGAAGACCAGTCTTACTATTTTGCATCCCTGTCATAGGAAAGAAGTAGCTTAAATTGTGAAAACTAACAGGCAGATAACTGGGTGCATGTGTATGTGGGTGAATGTCCAAAATCGAACATTTGAGCTCTTGGGCAAAAGTCTGCTACTTGCTAGCTGCATATGGTATGGGCTGGTTGTAAATTCTGATAACACCCTGAGAAATTTTTGTACATAAGCTAGATGGTTAGAGTTAAGGTAACAGCAAGCTAAAGCTAAACAGAGTCAGAAATTTGCAACTGCCTCAAAATAGGCATTTTGCAATCCTAAGGAAGTAAGTATTTGACATTAGAGACTATATTTGAACATGACAATGGACAAAAATGTAAAACAAAAATTTTCCAATCAGTTTCAACTCTGACTGTAGTAACACCAAAAGAAAGAAAGAAATATTTTCACAGGTCACTGGGAATGACGAAAACCATCAATAGTTATGATACTGTGGACCTTGGATGATGACTACAGACAGAATTAGAATTGCTTGGGCATGGAAACTGTCTGTAAATAGAAGTAAATGTGCTCAAGCATGGGCACACACATGCAACCATGATTGCTTTGTGCTAAGACTGGATAAAGGTATTAGAAGCAAATAGCCAATGTCATGCAATGAGTACTATAGTATTCTCGGAAGTTTGTGTCAATATACGTGCAAAACTGCTGCGCTGTGGGCTTTTTAGCTGCATATTTGCATATATTAGGTTTAATCCTAATAAGCCCCTTATTAGGTTTAAAATTATGTTGGAATATGCAAACAAAGAAGTTCTTCCTTTCCTTTATGGTTTACTTTTCTAGTAACAAAAACTATTGTAGGTTCATCATGTTGATATTTAGTGACTTAAGGAATGCTTTGAGGTAGGTCCTTAAGATGTGTAGAGACTCTTTACTGGGGCAGTTTTTACCTGTCAGCAATATTCTGAGGTACACAGGCATGAAGCACTACTGGGAAAAGTAGTATCTTCAAAGCCACAAGTAATTTGTTAATTAGATAACAAAAGATGCTCAGGAAAAGGGAGGGAGAGAAAATGATAAGAGGAAGAAGAAAAAAGGTTCAGAGTAAAACCCCCAATATTTTCTCTTATTCAAGAAACTTAGGAGGCATTGAGGTCTATCAGCATAAAGATCACAGGAAGATTTAAGAACTCTGTTACATCAGGTGAATGTCATCTGCCTTAATTATAACTATCACAATTAGAATTCAAATTGTTTTTTATTATCTAGGTTCTCTCAGAACTTAGGCATCAGCTAGGTGTCTAATTTCTAGGCAGATGAAATTAGAGGCAGTGACCCATCCACAATTACAGTTGTATGGAGCAAAGTGTGCTGATTTCAGTGCACTCTGGCCATCTTCAGTGTTTTAGCAGCATCGAATTCAGTTCTATTGTTACCATCTTGAGGCACACATATATCATCTTAATTCATTTACTTGTGGCTGAAACAGCTGGAAAGAATACAACTCTTGCAAGTTAGTAGTTTGGGTTTTTTTCATCCCACGTCTTATTAGAATGATTCAAGATTAAGCTATTGGCAGCTTCTAACAACCAGATCATGTGCCCTTTGTGTGGGCTTCCTGGCATGGAGAAGAAAGTAGCTTCTTGAGGTAAGACATAAATGTGCTCGCTGCCACTTCTTGAGAAGATGCAGTTCACCCCTTCCCTGCTGTTCTTGCAGCATGCAGAATGCGCCAGGTAGAGAGCTCCACCAGGTGCCCTCATTTCCATTCTCGAGCCAGAGAAATTCTCCTTACTTCTCCCCATCAGAGGCAGAGCATGGCTTGCAGAATACTGTGAAATGCACAGAGAAAAACTTTCCTCTTAAAAAAGAAGTTTAGTTAAAAATTAGAATATTGACTGAAATAAACAAGCTGCTGAACTGGAAAGTGTTCCTATGCCATTCACACATGTCAAACTTCAAGACTTTTTGCTGGGGTAACAGAACTATCTAATAAAAGGGTGATGTGTCGTAGTCTTATCTAAGTATCTGGCTGACCTACCTTTGGGTTGTTAGGAATTATCTACGTGATAGGTCTTCTTTTTGCCTACCTTTCATTTTATGGTCCCTAGTTGCAAATTACGTGGAAAACACTGTGCCTGAAATGACAGAAGTGTTAATTGGATGCAATATGAAATACTTCAGATTGCATAATCCGGTTTTCAGTACAAGACAATACAGCCACTGTTAACTTTCAAAGGCATGAATGAAAGTCTTGTTAAAATAATACAGTTGACCAAGCATACTGATTTTGTTCAGCCTCTGAAATGAGAAAAGATTTTGTAGTACTTAACAGAAATGGGAGTTCCTTTTATTTTTTCCCTCTCAGAGATCCTAACACCCCCAAAAAGTGGAATATTGAATGAAACTTCCTAGCATTATCATTTTCAGGTGTTAATCAGAGACTCATATCATAGTAAAACTGTAAGAAATATCAGTGAATTATTAAAAAGCACACTGAAGCAGCTATCATAATTCTATAAATTCTGTACTGGAAATCTTAGATGTCAACGAATTCCTCAGTATATACATGCAACATGCTTTTTTCAGTGTAAAGGAAGCTGGTATCAGTATATGAGATAGTGTTTACTCATGACTCAATATTACCTAATTTTTGTTTGTTGAATGTCAAGTTTGTTCTGCTGTGTGCTTTTATTAACAGGTGTGTATGTAATATAGATTGCAGTGGATACAGTTTTAATCCTGTGTGTGCCTCTGATGGAAGTTCCTATAATAATCCATGCTTTGTTAGAGAAGCATCATGTCTGAGACAAGAACAGATTGACATAAGACATCTTGGACACTGCTCAGGTAGGTTTGATTTTATTTTTCTTAAAAATATAAATTCTGACATGAAAGGCTCAATAGAGCCTTTTCTTTTCCATTTTTAGTTAGAATTCACTGATCTAGTTATCAGTGAATTCCCGACCTATATTTTGTTTCCCCACTTAGGGAGACTTTTAAGTTCCTGAATCCCACAGAATGATTCAGATGTGGCTTGTTTACATTAGCTTTTCCTGGCTGCTATTACCTGAAAAAATAGTAAAAGGAGAACATAAGCAATAGCACACCAGATCTTATGTGAGAAGGCAGTAAGAACTAGGAGAGAAAAAGGAATACTAGTATGTGGAAAATGTTCACTATTGCTGATGTGAGCCATACAATACACTTCCAAGGTAAGTAAACTTGGGGCTCAATAGTGCAAATATTTATACGCTTCCTTTTCCAACTTTGGAACAGTTCACTGAAACAGTTTGATTACTGCCATATATTGTTAATTATGTGCATAACTGTTCAGTTTTGGGGTCTTGAATTCAGTCAAGCCAAGGTGAATTGAATTTAAGACCTTCTCATATGAATAATATCTTTCCAACATCTCTTTGCCACTTACATCTAGAAGCTGCAACCTTGAGTGTTCCAAACAAACCCAGAGACTGTCACTAAAATAACCTAGGCCTATCCCACAAAGGACATTTCTGTTCAAAACCTACACCTTGGAGTGTGACCCTTACTGCTCTAGATGCTGATGTTACTGACTCCATGGACCTGTTTATACAGGAGGAGCAGTGTACAAAAGTGATCAGTTATACTGTAACTAAAATACTTCTTTGAAATACTTTATTCTCTGACATTTCAATAATATATATGTAGTGGTCTGAAAATAAGCCTTTCCTACTATCCATGCATGTATTTATTATCCAGAAACAGATGGCACAAATGGAGTTGGAAAGAAAGATGATGGAATGCAGTATCGGCCAGAAGTGAAAGGTATTGTGTTGACATTATGCTATTAGGTTACAGTTTTATAAGATGACAAAATAGAGCACATAGGTGCCTTCTCATCTGCCCTAGAACTTTGATTTCTGTAACCAAGGCAGACACAAAGAATAGGCTTGTTTTTACAGCACTGTCCTCGCAAGGCTGGCAAGAAGGTGATATGAATGTTTTGTGAGTTTTGTCACCTCTATGCTGCTCAGCTACTCACCCCTCTGCTCATCTGTCACAGGAGTGCAATCTGCCCAGTAGCTGTGACTCCAATCTTTTCTGACCACTTATGAAAAAACTGACAGACTCTGTTAGATGATTTTAAAATGTTCTATAAAAATTAACATGCTGAATCACATTCGTTGAAATGTTTTAGCTATATGAACTAAACACTTAGCATAAATGAAATAAGAGAGAGATTCAATTTCTGCTTAGTTATTTTACTTGTTAGGACCTCATGTGTGTTAAGTGCATTCTCAGAAGACACACTTTTCTCTATTTCATGGCTGTTATTCAGAGTTGCTGTCTGGGACAAAGCACTTCTATCTTTCTCAAACAAGAAATATAGCACTTAAGGCAAAGAGCAAACCTCCACAGCTGTTAACTCTTCTGTCACAAAGAGGAGCATTGCCATCTTCTCTGTTAGCTGTGGTCTTTAATTTTTCTGTCATCATACTGTGGCACTTCCATGGCCTCCCAGACTAAAGCTGTCTGTCCAGGCACGGTTTTAGATACTCCTGTATGCTTCTTGAAAACCCATTCTTTCCCAAAAGGTTCCATATATTTTTCCTTTTAACAGGTTCTCTTATTTCACCATTTAAAAGTTACCAATTGGAATGATTTAATGTCAACTTTCGCATATGATGATGAAGGCATAAGAGGCACCAAGTGGCATTTACATGTTATTATGTCATGTAATGAAACACTACTTTTGGTTCCTATTCTGAAGAAGTTATAGTCTTTCCCTTATTGCATAGAAATTGCCTTTGAAATCTAGTTAGTGGAAAAAACGGTGTATGCCATTATTATTATTAATGTATATTGCTTGTGCATTCAGAGATGCATGCAGTCTGAAGTTAGGTAAATACTGTGCATTAAGGCAATATGTCTTATGTAGAAAAGGTTTAGGTTTTTTTTGTTTTTGTCATTAGTCAGGTCTTTTTAGACAGTGAGACTCTACGGTGAACTAATTTAAATGATTCCTTCCTCCAGAATGAGATAGCAATTCACACTTCTCTCCATTTGCTTTAGCTTTAAAGTCCTATGCATTTCTTTGTGTTAAACCCTCTTTCTTTGTGTGAAACCCTTTTGTGTTGAACTCTGAAGGTATAAAATCTTTTAGCCTTTAGACTCATAACTGTAACAGTCTCCTTCTCCCTGCGCTATGAGCATCTAACTAAAGTTGCACCAGAAAGGTCTTTCTTCCCCTATTCAGCTGACTTGTTGTTTTTGTCTCATCATGATGGACATCAGGGTTTCACGTTCTATGCCTGCCTCTTCTTTGTTGAGAAGTATCTGTACTTTTACATTCCATTACTCTTTCAAGTCTCCTACACCAGTAAAACCTTTCATTTTGAAGCTCTGAAGCAGTCTGGCCAGCCTCTCAGATTAAAAATTGATTCTCATCAATAGGTGAGTAAACGTCTATTTTGCACTAGGAATCTTCTCCTGCATTTAACAGGCATTCTTTGTTTAATACAAAGTTTTGGCTCTGCCTTGCGTGGCTATGGCTACGCAGCCCTCTTTGCAGGAGTTGCGTTTTTCACTGGGCCTTACATTTTATATTAGTGTATACTTAAAAAATATAGATCATGCACCTATCTAAACAGACTAATATAACTGTATGTAGCTTTTGATTGAGACTGGATGTGACAGTAATTAATTGCTTCGAGGAGAAGGGAGGTAACTGGTTTGGAGTGACCAGTCTCCAATTTTCTCCTCTTAAACATACCATAACATAGTTTATTCCAATTGGCCAATTTCTAACGTATGTGTAAGTATTGGGCAATGTTCTTCCAATATAGCAAATCTTTTACATCTTTGAAGCATAGCCTGAACCAATAGACTTCCTGATATCTAAAACCTCTAACATTTAGAGGTTTTCTTGGAACAAATTAGGAAATATAACAGAAAATGTTCATTTCAGGAAAACCTAAAACAGCAGTAAGCCTTTTTTTGTTGTATAAAGACATTCTCTTTCCTTTATGGTGTTATTTCAAATATCTGCAGTTGTACAAGAGGTTTCTTCCTCACAGTCGCCTTTTGCTTTGCACCTGCAGTTCATTATCATCTTGTATTTGTGACACTGTGTATCACTGTGCCGTGATAATGAACATAATTCCATAAATTCAGCATAGCATTCACATTTTTAGATCCCTGTACTTTAGACAAGTTGAGAACCAAATACAAACGCCTGTGTTTAGGATTTTATTACAGAACAATAGGGGAAAGAATAGTTGAAAATGTACACAACTTTTTTTAGTTTTAGTAATGTGACAGATATACAAAAGATCTTGGGGCAGCGGGGACTGCCTGCCAAAGGTATCTTAGCCTCACCTCAATATTTGGAGCTTTTCTCTCCATCAAAATGCTTCTCCAAGGTAGCTGTTTTAATGAGTTTGATTTCAATTATAGTGACTGTTGATCTCACTCAGATCAGGGCTTTACCACGTTGTTCTCTACCCAGTAATCATAAAATGTGGTTTACCTCCTTCTTGACCTTTCAGATTTTTTCCTCTGCTAAAATGCTGGAGGGAGCTTTATGTATCTATGTGTTAGCCCTTTGTCACAATGCCACTAACAAAACTTTTGCTCATCTTCCTGCATTGGGTTGGTTCTATGTCATGAAGACTTTTCTCTTTTCAACAAAACTGACAAAAATGCATATTTAGATATGGCCAAGGTTCAGTGCAATGCATCCTCACAGCTTTCTGTATGCACCTCTGAAATTTCATCCTTATGCTTTTGCTTTATTATTCTGTATTTCCTTTTCCACTACAAGTTTTTAATGATATGCTATTCTTGGTTGAGATTTTTTTATGACTATTGTAAATTATTTTTTATAAATATTGTAAATATTATTTTTTTATAAATATTGTATGTATATTTCTTTTTCAGATGCCAGTGATCAAAGAGAAGACATTTACGTTGGAAACCACATACCTTGTTCAGAAAGCTTCAATGGCTACTGTATACATGGAAAATGTGAATTCATTTATTCCACTCAGAAGGCTTCCTGCCGGTAAGTCCTTAATGCCTATGAAATATTCTTGAAATTACTGTAAAACTTAATCAAAATGCTCTCTAGACACAATCACAAAATGTATCAATTTGTAAATAGCTAAGCAGTGGCATAAAAACTATATCCTATGTTGTGGGCAGTTCACAGCTACGCCAGTCATGGGGCCGGTAGTGCTTGGAGGAAGGGCTCAGTCTCCCAGGCACAGATATCTGTCCATAAAACCTGATGGCTCAGAAGTCTTAGTGCATAGGTGAATGGTGAAAGGCCAGTGAGAAGCTGGGAAAGGGGAGGAACAGGAGAATGCTAGGACTGCTACAGGGAGTGGAGCTGAGTGGGAATGTGACATATATCTGTTTTGGACTCAAAATGCTGAATCCTTGCACAGCACAAAAGTGGGCACATCGAAGCAATCTCTTGCTTTATTTCAGCTCAGTTAGTAGATAGTTCTGAATCCCTTTGAGAATTGTGGCCTTAGTGTTATCTCCTTATTTTCATCTGCTATCTAGAGAAAATAAAATGCTGCCTTTTCCTTGCATGGCTTTTCTATATTAGCATACTTTTCCCATTGACCTCTTTCAGTCTGTTCTTGTGCTAGCTGGGCCTTTATTGCTCTATTCACAAATTCTTTCTAGGATATCAATATATTATTTTTAACATTTTATTACTCTTTTTCAAAATAGTATGCTTTATTTTATATGGACAGAATACAATTGCAAAATATTATTTAGCCTAAATCTTTTGTCTGCTAAGTATAATCTAGCAGTTCAGTAAAATCAGTATTAAGCCATTAAGTTTTTTCCTAAGAAATCTGAATTTTCCATTTTATTTCCTTAGCTCCCAAGTATGTTTTTATTTAAATTTTACCAAGTAAATTCTAATTTTCTGTTTTCTTAAAAAAAACATTAAAAGGCTATTCATAGAAAATGGATGCTTCTTCTTAATAACATGAAGTTTCCCACTTGTTAGTAGTAATTTCAATGCAGAACTTTTATCTTGCAAAATTGTACTTTCAGATTAACGGAGCTGATGATGTTATAACTCTTTACTTTCCGTTACTTTGGAACCTTTAGCTGTAAATCTGTTAGATTCCATTATGGGTTTTTTTTTCACCTTGATCTTTAACGAGTGAGTGTATTTAGGGCTTTTTCTACTGCCAAGATTTAAACATTTCTAGTCTGATCAGAAAGTAGGAAGCCAAGAAAGAAGAGCCAGTGTGATTGTGGACGTAAGCATTTGGAAACCTTTATCTATCCTTTTCCCATCTGAGATGCTTTCTTTTTTATTTTCAACTTCCCTTTAGGACTGTATTTGTCTTTCACTTTTCTTTGGCCAGAACCAAGAGAGCCCAGAATGCCTTTGCTTCTCTTGGAAAACTGAGCACATCCCCAACGTTATCTTGGTGGGTATTAGGCAGCAGTACTTGACTGCAGTATTCTTTTGATCTGGAATTGTGTTTAACAATTTCTGATGGATTTGTTCTCAAAATAATCAAAGCAGAGGAATTTCAAAGAAAATATTCCCAGTTAAATGAACTAATATTTTTGGTTTCTCATAATTTTTTCTGGATACCATTAACCATAAATAGTCATTTATGATTCAATGATTATTCAAATATTTACATATTTATTATTAAATTAATGCATTAATATATCACTTTATAATGTATTTGATAATTATATTTACTGTTATGACCTTCAGTTATTTATTTAAACTTTTGGTTATTTAAGCCTGAACAGTAACTCAGCACGGACCTAGCACAATAAATCTCACTTGGTTCTAGTCAAGAATTTTTCACTGCCTGTTTGACCCCTAAATGTTAAATATTTTTGGATTTTTTTTTTTTTAGCCATTTAAATACTCATAGTCTCAACCTGTATGCATATGTTTCATTCTATAACAGTGTGTTATTTAGGAATCAAAGTGATTTATATCAGACAGCAATTAGCCATAGTAATCAAATAGTTCTACTGAAGAAAAAACTTCTCTCTCTCGAACAAAGAAAATACAATGAATAAATGCCAAGGGCAGATTATTATTTTTACGTGCTTTGCATTCTCAGCACATCTAGCATGTACATTTTCTATTTTGGTCCTCCTTTCCTGTAGTTACGTATGTAGATGTATTAGATGACTGACAAAACTGTAGAAAGCATGTGCACAGTGCAAATTCTGACTTTCACCAGCAGCTGGACACTGAGGACAGTGACTCTCCTTGCTTACTGCCCAGCAACCAACAGAACTGCCGGCAGGTGGGAGGGAGCAAGGTTTAGAAGTAAATTGTGTAATATTTAGCTTAGCAGCCTTTGCACAGCTAGGATCTGGGCTATCACCTGCTGCCCTCCTTGTGTAGTACAGTTCTGCCTTGTCTTTAGGGAAGGCTGCATCAAGAAGGCACAGTTTATCTTCTTGCCAAAAAATCTGTAGCTTCATCATGCTAACTCAGTTAATTGACTGATCAGCATATTCCAGCGTAAATCCATGCTGTCCTCTATTTACCATGCTATGTATTTATGCAGCAGGATGCTTTGAAAATTGTTCTGCTGGTTTGGCAGGTAACTTAAACTGGTGTCTAGTATTTCCATTCCACCACTACTTGGCATAAGCACCACTTCTTTGCAAGAATTCAATACTCCTGAATCTCCCCTCAATATCGGTCAGAAATAATTTCCTGATACATCAGTGTTTCTAGGAAATGTCTTTGAATTATTTGTGCTTCCTCTGCTTTGTTTTTGCCTCCTGTGCTTTAAAGCAATTCTTACATTGACAACGCTTGACTGTTGTTATCTTCTTTAATAAAAATAAAATCAAAGTACCAAGTAAGAATTCAGTGCTCTTTGCTAGCAATATGTTCTCTTTCTTATTATTCCTTCCTAGGTGATGAGTAGTGTTCCCTGTCCTCTTCCTTCTTCTTGCTAGTACGTCTTTCTCCTGGTTCCTTTCATGGTGATTACCAAGCTTGTTTACAGTAAATTTGGGCTTTCCTTTAATTTTTTTTTTAATGTTTCTACAAACAGAATTAGTTCCTGTATTTCTTTACCAAGCTTATGGATGAATGAGACTGAGTCTAGGTTGCATTCAGGCTTATTTTATCCAGTTTACAGTAGGATTGTTTCTGTGCCTGTGTGTCCTTAATTCATCTCCAGCTTTCTACTCCATAACTGGCAGCCAATTGTATGGTTCAGTCATCCTTAATGATAAATGCACATCAATCCGTTTTAAACGATAGCTGTACTATGAACTTATTACTCTTTTGCTTATAAAGCTATCCTTTAAAACAAATAGTCACAGGTTCACACTTCAAAATGAAAGCTGAAGTTTTTCTTCTCACTGCCTAAACCAGCAAGAGGAGAAGGGATTAAAAGCCCTTGCTCAGGCAGCATAGAGGACAGTAAGTTGTGGCCTTTGATTATGCAGACTCCAGCTCAGTGTCTTGCGTAGCTCTTGCTTTTCCTTGCTGTGCTGCAGCCTCTCTTTTTTTTCTTGAAAAATTGCTCCAGAGCATGTTTTCATCACCACCTTCGTCACTAGCACATCTTGCATTCACTAAAAACATATGTCACTGATCAGGAGCAGCCTCTGCTGAGTTTTCCATTGAGATAACTGCTGGTTTGCTCAGGCAAGATACTAATTAGAGCAGCTGCTTCTGTTCTGCCTCCTACCATTTTCCCACCACCCCTAGCAAATTTCTATGGATTCTTCCATGAACACTCACTTAAGCAGTTGTGGGCTATTGGGTTCCCTCCCAAAAGTGTCCTGCAAGGTAGCTTGTTCTCCCTGAGGGGACTGTGAGATTTGAGTGAGCTGGCTAGTTCTGAGTCTCCATGATTTTTCCGTGCAGCTGGCCAGAGCAATAACCTGTTCTCTGTGAAGCACATTTAGCCTGAAATTCTCATTGACTTGGGGTAAAAGCTACTTAGCAAAGAGAAAGATGGAAAGATGGGGACAGGGCAGGAGGGTTTTTAATGCTAGTCTTGTCCAATAGTTTTCACAGGATTCCATTTCTATAGGCTGCAGTTTGAAAAAGCATGTTCTTTTTTTCTCACTTTTCAGAGTTTCTTTTCCTCCTTTTCATTCTACTTTTATCAACATTCCAGTTGAGTTCCATGAACATATCTTATTGTTTCATTTAGTCTGTCTACTTGTTTCATCTAGTTTCTTTATTCTTTCTAAAAATTGCTCCACATACTTCTTGTGCCAAATCAGGTCCTTTGCCATGAAGGTAGACTTTCAGAGAGGGCCACTAATATCCAGGGAAGTGGAGAATATCCATTCTGTTTCTTCTCTTGCCACAGGAATTCAAACTATTTTCAGATCCAAATACTCCAAATACTCCAAATACCTCTGCCCTCTCACCAGCTGTTTCTCAGTTATCATTCATTCATTCACAGAATGGGCAGGATCTCAGAGGAGCTCTCTTGTGTAGTTATGCTCTTTAAATTTCATTTTAGTCTTCAGAAAGTAGTGCATTTTGAGTTGCTGAAATAGCAGTGATGTCACTAATGAATGTGTTTCTCTCCTGTTGTCATTGTAATGTTCTCCAGGCCTTACAGTTATGTCTTGATTTTTCATATTTTCATTGATTACTGAGCTCTTTATCCCTCATTGTAGACTCTTTATTTATCTGAAAAAATGACTAGACTATTGTCAAAATATATATTCAATGAAATATTCCCTTTCTTTTCAGGTGTGAATCGGGATATACTGGACAGCACTGTGAAAAGACAGACTTTAGTATTCTTTATGTTGTCCCAAGTAGACAAAAGCTTACACATGTCCTTATTGCAGCAATAATTGGAGCTGTACAGATTGCCATTATAGTTGCAATTGTCATGTGCATAACAAGGTAGGTAAATACAAAACCAGTGTAAAAATTACACATTGTATGTTTTATATATCTTTCTAACAAGAAATATATCTTTCTAACAAGAAATATATATATTATATATATTTATATATATAAAATATATATTTCTTTCTAATAAGAAATATATCTTTTATGTATTGAAGTATTTAACCCTCCTGAAGTTTTATAAGCTTTAACATATATTCAGAAATCCCCAAATCAAATATACCTAATGACTGAGTAGAATGATTATGCAAATCATATTGCCAGTTTATGTCACACAACATACATTCATTTAAATTCACAAATCACTAGTGATCACTCTAAATCGCCAAACCAAATACCTAGCAGAATAAATTAGCCTTGAAGCATAGCTAAAAGGTCAGCTAAAGTGTTAGCCCTTCACTGGAGAAATTCAAGCAGTGATGATAACTCATTACCCCCACCCCACTCCCTCCCAGTGAAACCAGAGCCTTGTCAAGTTGCTGTTCTCAAAGGAAAACTGAATAGGCACATGAAGCATTTCAGTCCTACATTTGGGCATCCATGCCACACTTCACTTCCTCCTCCTCAACTTTTCCTTTGCTGCCTTCACTTTTTAAGGTCCACGTATAGGCTCACAGAGCTTTCTGCTACTGCATTAGTGCACTGCTTTCCAAGCTCAGTGATGCAGAGGAACACTCATATGAATGAACAGTATGGCATCCTTCCCTGTCTCTCTTGTAAGGTTCAATGTAGCAGGTATACTTAAACAAATCTAATGCTTTCTGCACCTGTAAGACATGTTTAGCTCATGGAATTAAGGTCATCCCTTTTTTTAACCCAATATGCTCCTGATCCAAACACTTATGTGGCAGGTCCAGCAGCATCCTCTTTCATCCTCCCCTCAACAACTCCCCATACAGTGGGCAGGCCTTGGTGCCTCCCAGCAGAACTGCTCCATCTTGCATTGGCCACTCTCTAAAGTGCTGAGCAAGTCCCTTTCCACTCATAATTGCTGGCTTTCATTAATTCTTTCTTAATCATGTAACCATCTGCAAGAAAGGGAAGGTCTGTATCTCCCACAGAAAGTGGAGGTGGGCTCTGTATTGTGAGTGCCAACAAGTAGCAGGGCACCTGAAGGTCACATACTGCAAAGCTGAATGACGGAGTTTAGTCCCCTGGGCTTGATCCAGCAACAATCCTACCATGCACAGAATTTTAAGTGTGTTAAAAAGTAAAACCAGTGCCCTTACTCAAGCACTATGTATTTTGCTGGATCAAGGTTGAAGTACTTAGCATCTTTCTGCTTTGAGTCCCAGATCCAAGCAGCCTTCCCTTCAGGGTGATCTTAGCTCCCACAGGTGACCCAGGTGTCCATCTGGTACCAAATAATGGGGGCATTCCCCCAATCAGCATAGCTGAAATACTCTTTCTTATGTTGATTATAGAAAATAAAGTCAATTTACTAATGCTCTTTTAAAGTTTATATAGCATATGTAAAAACATCCATTCTTTTTCTTTCTCCTTTTTTAAAATAGAAAATGCCCCAAAAACAACAGAGGACGTCGGCAGAAGCAAAATCTAGGCCATTTTACTTCAGATACTTCATCCAGAATGGTTTAACTTAGTGATTTTTTTATACCTACATTGACCATGTGATGTACATTTTTATTATATCTTTTTTTTAAAGAATGGAATTATTTATTTCAGAGGCCTTATTTTTGAACATTTTTAGTGTACCAATGTTGGTCTGTATTCTGCAAGCATCAGCTCTGACAGCTATGGACTGTTTTAGTAACTTTACTTTCATGTTTTTGAATATAGTAGTTTATTTTCTGTATCTGTATCACATGGTTATATAATAGACTTGTGCTTTACTCATGGAATGTAATATTTTTGGGAACACAGACTTGTTTCACCAATGGTTGTAGATTAAAAAGCAAAACAACAAAACGTCCACATTACCTAGCAAACAAGGCATGAACTAAAGGTAAAAATGTTTACAGCTTACTTTTCTTATGAGAAACTAGAAAACACTGTGTTTAAATACCGTAGATATTTAAATGTTTTTGGAAGTTAGTAACTGATTTTTTAGACACTGCCTATCGCATGAACTGTGAAGCTGTGTGCTGTGTGTAGTTGTAACATATTTATAAAACGTATGGGCTGGGTCTAAGCACTGCCATCCTCATGAATAATTCCAATCATTTATTTTTAAAGAGGAAAATTATAAATGTCATAATTTGGGAAATTACCTGGTAGAGCAGATGGCACAGGTCCAAAAGAAGAAGGTCTTAGTACATTTAGGTATTGTAAAAATTGGTATTGAATAACTGAATTCAAATAGTTGGAATAAAGCCTACTTTATCACTGTTGAAGCTGTTTTAATACTTTTTTAAAAAGAATATGTGTTTTAACACCTACAATACAGATCATACAGTGTTTGTGATTAAAATAAATAAACAAAACAAAAGTGAATGAATTACTAGTGCTCTTGTATATTTTCAAGAGCTAAAAAAGTCTATCCAATTTAGTCTGCTGGTCATAGCTATATTAATAGACTGTTAGATGTTGTTTGAAAGATCCAGAGATAAAATGTGAATAGGATGTGTTCAGATGTTTAACATGTAGTTTAGGCTTTCAAAATTCTGCATGTAGGATTTCATAATTTGTTCAATAAAAAAAATTTCAACATTTTGAACTGGAAAAGCATGTCACAATACAACGTTTTTCACTATATTGCCTCTGTATTAGTGTGTTTGTTTGTTACCTGATGTGGTAATTGTAAGAATCTGAAGATCTGAAATTATTTTCATTAAAAAACAACTATGTTTACTTTCCTGAGAGCTACCTGGACCCCCCCTCCCCCCCAGAGGAAAGCACTTCAGTAACATGAAAACCGAAGTAGATCTTTTAAAATATGCCACTTTGCTTTCCTGCTTAATTGGTAAGTTACTTAACTTTCCTGGATTAACACTAATAACTTCATCAGTACAGAAGCATGACCCTTTAAATATGTGTTCCTTTCTAGACACTGCTTCCTAATTTTAGAGGTTTCATATTGCTGAAAGTATCTGAACAATCATGTGTGGATATTTTATAGTCACAAATATTTGACCAACCTCCAGGAGCAGAGTTGCACACCCTACTTTGAGCACTGCTGAGGCCAGCTGTCGTGCTGGCTTCTTGCAGTAAGTACCAGAATTGTTCTGATTGATAGGATTTGAACGGCTGTTGCAAGGAACATTTAAACTTCAGCTCCTGAAGACCTGACTGCAGGGAGGCAAAATGGATCACCATGAAATTACATTGGGGGCTGACAAAATCCACCAAAATCGTCTGTCAAGTGTCACAGAAGATGAAGAAGAACAAGATGCAGCTTATACAATTGTAACAGTCCTGGATAAAGTGGCCAACATTGTGGACAGTGTGCAGGCAAGCCAGAAAAGAATAGAAGAGCGACATAGAGAGATGGAAAATGCAATCAAGACCATACAGATTGATATTTTAAAGCTTGCCCAAGCTCATGGCAATACAGGCTATACAGTTAACAAGTTGCTTGAGAAAACCCGCAAAGTTAGTTGCACCGTTAAAGAAGTAAGGGCACGTGTGGAAAGGCAGAGTGCCAACGTACAGAAAGTTGAAGCAAAACAAGAGGAGATGCTGAGAAAAAACAAATTTCGGGTTGTAATCTACCAGGTAACCATGAACCTAATTTATTGTAAGTTTGTCACCTCCTTGATAGGTGCTGGTAAATGTGGATTAATGAGTCAAATGATACAGTCTGTCCAACATAGGAGCTGTTTTATACTTTCTTTAACATTACTTTCTGCTTCTCAGTTTCTTTCAGTATAGAGCTACTGGTGGCAGTACAAATAGTCTATTATTAGTGTTGGTAGGTTTCTCAGCTAGTAGTGTAAGATTAACTGCAGATCAGCAAGGACTATTTGTCGCCTCTCTGAAAGGTAATATGAGGCAGACACTGTAAATCTTGTCATACAAACCATGCTTGACATTCATCTGTTATTTTTTTCACCATATTAGGTAGAAGTCCAAACAGCAAAAGTGTTTGTAGGTTCCCTGAAACATAGGCTTTCTTTTAATACTAATTTTAAAATGTATGGTTTATTTCACTTGCAGCATTGCCCAGGCTCTTTGTAATGCTGAAAAAAAAACAATTTATCATTATCTCAATCTTTAGCAGTGAACATACAAAGTAAAGCTCAGACCCACAAACCTTCACCATACCAATAGTCTTTATGCGTGTTGTACTTTGGAAATGACTTAACACAGCACTATTCTCCCAGTCAAATTTGGCAAATGAAACATATATTTTTAGCTTTATTCTGGGATGTCCTTTATTCTTATAAATGTTTATATTTGAAGGGAAGTTTCATGAAATGACTTGGTCTTGCCTACATCCATACAAATAGACAGTTATCTGTGCAGTGTGGTTCATGGGATTTTTCACATGCTAGTGCTGCAAAACTCATTTGTTTAATGATCTGATCCTACATTTGCTTCCCAGTTCTCCAAGAAGTCAGTAGAATGTGAGTGTTTAACCCCTTTCCAGAATCATAGTTTCTCCTTCAAACCAGTGAGTCCCCAAGGCTTCATTCAAATGAGTCATATTTCTCATCAGGCATTCTTGAACGTATCAGCCCTTCTGAGCAATGCACTATGCCCTTATTCTCTAGTCTTAGACCTTGATCTTGCAATTGTTTGTACATATATAACGTTACTTGCATGAATAGATCTGTGTTTTTTTCACTGAGAATATTTGCCAGTGTATACAGCTGACAAGTTCTTAGGCATAATTAAGCTTTCTTAACTACTTCATTTGCTAGTATTGGGAGGAATCACCTTTTAAAAAGAAAAAAGAGTAAAAGCTGAAGGTAGAAATGGTACCTCTTTAATGTTAGTAACATATATAGTAAAATTCTGCTTCCTAGCTTTTCTGAATGACTTGTTATGGATGTTCAGGAGAAAGTACAGGTAGAATTTGACCTATTATTACAATTTTTGCAAGCTGTAGAATGAAAAACAGGTGCTTTTACTTTTTCCTTGTAAATCATTTCCCAGCTAAAGGAAATAAATATCTCTGACTCCCCTGGTTATTAGCATAATGCCATTTCACTGTTGTGCATTTTCCATGATGATTGCAGTAGAATCAGTGCTTTGAAAATGTTTATTCTTAAGAAAGTATTTCTAACATAACGTCAATTTTTCTCCTAGCAAGATCTGTGTTGTCACTCATTTTAAAATGTAATAAAATATTGTGGAAATGGATTTACACAGTATAAAGAATGACTACTGCTATTTGTAGATATTTTTTACAGAAGATGGCTTTCATGATGCATACTTTCTCTAACAATTACCTTCAGCAGGAGTTTCTGAACTCCCTTCCGGTTTTGCCAGACAAGAATGACCTGCATCCTGTTCCATACATTTAATTCTTAGGTGGTACTTTTCAGAAATGGAAGCAGCATTTTGGATTTCTCTCTTTCTAGCTTCCTAGAGAACCACATGAGAGAATGAATGACGTCCTCTTTAATTTTCATCCCTTTCATATAAGACATTAGAGAACCTTCTCCCTCATCTCATTTTCAAGGGGGAAGCACAGAGGAGGAGCAATCTGCTGCTCCCCTTAGAAAACAACATTTAATATCTTTCTGATGGATGATAATCACACTGCTTCATGAGAACTGGAGCATAGTACATAGCCAAGGCTATACTGGAGCTTTAATGTACAGGTACCCAGGTGCAAGTCTCTACACAAGTTTAGTAATTTCTACACTATTGATTTACAGCAGTATAAACATATTGTTGGAATGCCAAGACCTGAATGACTGAGGCTTGGCTGCGATGAGAAGTCTGTTAACAGCTACTGAATCAATGTGGTGCACCTATTCTCTTCACTAGATTTTACAGTTCAGTATAACCAAGTTGTTTATTTGGTGGCTGTGAATAATAGCTCATCTGCAGCAAGAATTTTCTGATGAACCAGGTGGGACATTGTGATGGAGCCAATGACCTGTGTGAAGCCAATGGAGAATACTTATGTGGGTCATTGCATGTGAGTTTTAGTTTTGAACCTTTTGCCAGAACATCAGCATACAAGGAGAAAGGGAACATCAATTAAAAATCCTAATGATTTTTTTAAAGTGGATATCATTGATAAAGGGAGTAGGCAGATTAAAAAGGATCATTGGCTGGAGTAGTTTGTCCCAAGATCCCTCAGCCATAATGAAAGGAATTGGCAATATCCTTGCATTAAATAGAGACAAAATGATCATCCTTGACCATAATGATTAGGGAAACAGAAATCATCCATTTTTAAGAGGCCGTGTAGTTGAGGAAAAAATTTGGTCACAGGCTGCTTTCCTCCCCAGGCTGACTATATAATTAAAAATGCCAGATTACTTCAGAATTTCTAGAGAGGTCATTGACCCTGAAGTGCTATGTGCCCTAAGAGTATAGCAGGGAACACAAAGTACTTTATAGGTTGTGCAGGTCACTGCTCAGTTCTATTCAGGTTATTTTGAATAACCAGCTGTGGGAACTGTCATTCCTCTGCAGTCAAAGAGCAGCTAACAACTTAACTCATTCTGACTAAATCAATCAGAAATTAAAGAGAATTTTTCTTTTTAATCCTGAAAGAACTAGTTTCATTTGCTTTTCTGCATGTTCTGCAAGCTTCCTCTTTGAATGCGAGTGTATAGTCACCAGGAAGCGCCTGTTAAGTTACTAGGATTTTTTTTTTTTTAGTGTTACTATATATAAGCATCTTAAACGAGTAAAAAATTCCTATGAAGGGACATGTGCATTTATTGCATTGCTGTTTGACATTTAAGACTAGTGGACAGTCACAGTAGACATGTCAGAAACTGATTAAGGTTAGGGCTTGACTAGCCTGCAGCACAGTTTTTGGTTTCCCCTCTGTTCCACCACATGCATGGTGAGGCACTAGTAGAAGAAGCCTTGCATTTGTGACTCCTATCAAGTATAAAGAAATACAAATAAAAGAAGTGTGCTGTCGTATATCCAGACCACTGCCCTTCTGCAGCTTGAAGACTTATGCTGTAAAAAAGCTGAGATTGAGATTGGGACAATAATCTGAAAATAGCCATATCTGAAGTGAAAGTAAAAACCAGGACTTAATGAGCTCAAGATTCAAGGTTCCAAACATGAATTCTAAAAGACCTGACACAAGAACACACCACCCTTTGACAAAGAGTTTTAATTATAGCTATTCTGAGAAAAAACTGTGAGAGTAACTGTGATCTGAAAGACAGCAAATACAATACATTCTATTTTACAAAGACAGAGGAAATTATCTGAACAATTACCATTCATCTGATACCATTAGTACATAAGAATGATAGGCTTAAATGGGTTTTAGCAGTGCTCTGAAGAACTGAATCATTAGTGCCATGGAGTCAAATAGCTTACAAAGAACATATTTTACCTTTTTGATTATTTTTTTCTATACCACAGAAACATGGTAGATCTTACTTTTTTTGAATTTTATATAGCTGATAGCTTACCTCATAACAACTATTCTGGATAAAGCGCAAATGACAATAGATTGTGCTGAAATAGGAAGTGAGGTTTATGAGAGGTTTCTGAAAGGGATTGCTTTTAAAACCAACTTTGTCAACAACATAATATTTTCATTAATGATGTTGGCACAGAAAAAAGATGGATGCTTATAAAATATGCTCAAAATGAGGAGATGTCAGTCCAGAGAAAGAAAAATATACAAGAAAGTGAATTACTTTTAGAGCCAGAGTAATGGAAATTTAAGTGCACACAGTGGCAGATCCTATACTTAGCCAGAAATTCATTTTGTTAGTATGTCTTCTGAGGCCTCATGGTTTGTATAGCACAAAAATTAGTATATTAATTACTCACATGTTGACTGAGAGTCCACTTGATATGGCGCTTAAAAATGTGAATCAGAGTCTTGGACTGTTTCAGGCAAGATATTTCCAGAAGTGATAGAGAGGTATTCAATGCCCTTGCACAAAACACTTTTTGGAACCCATCTGAAATACCATATCCTGCTCTAATCACTCATGTTCAGGTAAGGTGAATTGAAACTGAATAGGTTTGGAAAAGGGCTACCAGGATGATCAGAGGAATGGGAAGCCCTGTCAAATGAAAGGAAATCAGGAGGGCTTAGTTTGGGTTAGTCCAGCAAAAGAGACTGAGAGAGGTTGTGGTTAGCATTTATAAATATACTGGGACAGGAAAGAAGAGTCTGGTAAAGAATATCGGCAAAAGATGAAATGGGTATAAACTGTCCATGAATTAATTCAGGTTAGAAACCAGAAATGGATTCTTTGTCCTAGAGATCTGTGGGTCTGGATAAAGCTTTCTGCCAGAACACATGGGCAGAGATAAATCTAAATTGCTGTTAAAATGGAGTTTGAGAACTTAATGCAAAAAGAGATGGCATAGCATGGCTACCTATGATAGCAGAGCATGGCTTCAGGCACATGGGCCTCCACAGCGCAATGACACAGGGCCTTTGGACTCTTGTGGTATAAGCCACATCTTTATATAACATCTTTACAGATGAGAAGGTTAATTGACTTAGCTGAAATTACAGAGAATTAAAAAAATAAAATAAAAAATAACCCACACAACCCAACAGTTGCATAAAAGCATGTAGTAAGAGTTCTTTGTTTCCAGTG